CAGAAATACTTCTGCAAGATGTAGAAGGGAGAATCGAATCTTGGACACAATTGATAAATTGATACACCTTATCGTTATCCCACATAGCATGATTTAACTTTTATTATAAATTCCTTACTTGTGAACTCTGAATTGGTTGAAAGCTGATATTACCAAATGTAATTACACAATTTGAAAAATAAGCAAATTGATTAAGATGTCTGTTCAGCAATTTTATGATTTTTTTTGCTTTTGAATTAACCGAATTTTTCGAAACACAGCATTTTTTAATTGTTATTGAATAATCTACGTGCAAAATTTTGTTACTGATAGCACAATACTTCATTATAAACAGTAAAATCATTTCTTTCAATCTGATTAGAACCTTCGATTTTTTTTTTTTTGCCCTGAGCAATCTAATTTTGATTTTTAAATAAATGAGTAAGCAAAAAACGTTACAACCAACACAAATCTTTTTATTGTATTATTTTAAAAGGACTTTCAGAATATTTTCTAGAATCCATTCGCTCATTTTTGGTTTAGCCTGATAACGGAAAAATATTTCTGAATGAATTTTTATAGACCGTGTAAACTATTCAGTGCTCTAATCATTATCATTTCTATATTTTTCTCAAAAATTCTGTTGAACTCCAGAAAGACTGTTTTTCTATCGCTCAATGTAAAATGCAGTGCAAATCAACAGTTCCTTGAAATAATAATGCTTTTCCAAATTTCACATTAATAAAATATATTAAATAATAATTTTCTCCTGTCCAATTTCATTTAAGTTCATCTATTCAATCGTGTTTAGTACCTACTGTATTAATTAATGCTAAACATCTTTGCAAATTAACTCATAGTGAATGAAAAATTTATTTTCTCGAACAAGAATGGGAATTAGAAATTTTCCATAAGTTACGAATTTTGACCCATAAAAATTACATTATGTTGCAGTTTTTATTTTGAGGAAATTGATTTTCAGTCCAACATTATAGAAAGACTACTTGATCTTTGTATGAAATTTCGGATTTTATATTGCCCGATTTCGAAAATTTTATTTAGTCAGATGATAAATACATTTATTTTTTTTGTCAGTAAAAGTTGTGCTAGAGGTAAATGTAGCTGACATTCTTGCTCTTAATATCCTTTCTCTCAAAGATTTGAGGACTCAGCATGCTACAGCACGATATCTTATGGTGCTAAACTCATATCCAATCTCTCAGTGTTATTTGATATTTTTAAGCTACTCTCGACATGCATAAATAGCATTCATATAAAGTGAACGACAAAAATCATTTTCATTTATTACTATAATATTTAATGTCAAATGAGGTATCCTTGTCAATAAATCTTTCAGTTTCACCCTTTAATGTTCTTTCATTATTTTCATTTATATTATTATTATTATTTTTTGATTTGTACCTTCAATTGTCATCATTTAATAAAATATAATTTGTATTTTATTTTCTTTTACAAAGATGTTTCTCACGTATTAAAAGAGGTTAGCGATAAAAAAATTTCCTTTTTAGGAATTAACAGCAAAAACTGATAATACTGAACTATTTTCCACTGGTTATTTTGCATCAAAGTATTTCGCAATGTGAATGCATTTTAAAAAGCGGCTTTAGAAAAAACACACCAAAATAATCAGCAGTGCTAGGAATTCAAGAAATCTTTTTCAATCATTAGATGAATCATTACATTACAAGAAAGTCTTTCAGCGTTGTAATATTGTAACACAAATTACATTGCAAGAATCATTATGTAGACACATTTGAAATTTAGTTTTCAAGGAAGAGATTTGAGTGTATCAGAAAAGGAAAAAAAAAAAAACTTGTTTCGGTGCTGGTCTTCCTGTCATTCGACTGCAGTTTACGATTGTTTTGCAGCAAGATCAATTTTTTGTCATTGAATTACACTTCATATCATTATGAAATGTACCTCTGCTAAAAATTTAGGAAGTTCCAATTTTTTTTTCTCTTTTGAATAATGCTACTTCATTTTTTGCATATTTTATGATTTTTTTAGATGCTTATTCCAAATGCATATGCAAACATTTTTGCAGCATTTGATAAAAAAATTGAAAAGTACTTTGTCTGGAAAATTAAAATTAAAACAACAAACGTTTTTTATGATTACAAAGCAAGTAAACAAGTGTGCATGGAACAGCACTTTTGATTTGATAGATAACCGTGAGTACTTTCAACACTAAAGTATCATCATTTTTTCGTGAGTTTATTTATCAAACACTTACAAACATTTAAAATAACCCATCTGTCAGTATGCTTTATTTTCAGCTTAATACAGGAATGGTGGAAAAAATAATAATTCCTGAAATTTAAATTTATTTTCTTTAACTATTATATTACAATGTAAAATTAATACGACCTAAAGAATGAGAAATTACTCTAACTTCTAGAAAAAATTATTGATTTTCTTCAAGAATTAGATTGATTAAAATCAAAATCAGTTAGCTAATTCACCTGCATTAAACGACTTGATTCAAAATGCTTTTAAACATTTATCCTCGTATTAAATGTTTCTGATTGAAAATGGAGAATTTTCATTATTTCTTTCTCATAGCGTTATCATAATTAATTATCACTCTCATCATGTTATTCATAGCGCTAAGATTATAGAAAAGAAACATGCTTCTTGTTAGCTATTAATAACTAATTTGAATCCAAATGAAATTTTAATGAAATAAATTTGATTGGTAATATTTTTACTAATAATAGAAATGAATTGACGGAAACTCAAAAAAATAAATAAATAAAATAAAATAAATCTGCCGATAACACTGACTGGGTAAGATTATGTTCTAGTAATAAGAAAATAAAACTGTTAGATATTTAGATTTAAACCGGTTCTTTCAAAAATTATATTGCTGGGTATACTCATGTATGTATTTGTGTATGTATCTGTGCGTGGTCTGTGCGTGCGTGTGTGTGTTGTGTGTATGTGTGTGCGTGCGTGTATGTTGGGTATGCATCTGTATACATGCGAATGTGATGTTTGCATGTAAAATATTCGTGGTATGTGTTTATGAATGAGCAGTGTTGGACGTTAAAACTGCGTCTAAGCGCTGTTGAAAGGAAGTAGTGATTGGTGGTGGTGAGGTGTTGTCCTATTTTATTTTCATTGTACAGTATGGTGAATTGTTTAATCGTTAAATTTTATCATTGTTTTGAGTGCTGCACTTTGAATTTTTTCTCCGCTTCGTAATCCATTTGAATGGAGTTGTACAACTGGTCACCATATTGACCTTATTTAATGATTAATACAGCAGATTCAGACATTTTTTGTTTTCATCATTTCGTTACAATTTACCACTTTTACAAGGTATATAATAAGATTTTCATGACCACTGAGCGATAATGACATGACATCAAGCGTTTTCATATTGGATCACTTGCTTGCTAATTTTCCCATAATCAGATATACTGTAGTATTTGTTCCGACTTAGCAAAAACTTCGGAAAATTCTCAGCCATGTATCAAACTATCTCTTTTTATCACTCACAGCGGAAGATAGCACACCACTTCACATTATTCATTTTGTCGTTTCATATTTTCCGACCCCTAATATTGAACATCGAATTGTTCAGACTGAATAGAGCATTAAAATAGTTCAAATTCATAGTTTTATCCGTGATATATTATTCACTCGTGATGTTGAAATTTTATCAGTACCAATAAATCATTAACTAAGAACGAGTGCACTCCTCTGTTTTGCATTGCTGCAAATAGCGCTTGTTTACACTTTTTTTTATCATGAATATAAATTTTCATTCACAAGCATTATGTAGCACGAACCGAAACATTTTACTTATGAAAAAAGATAGCTATGAAGTATATTTACTTTTTCCTATTAAATGAACATTTCGTTTCGATGGCGCATAGCAGGATCAAAAATGCTTCCGAAAAAATTCTACCCGTACAAAAGCTAATAAAGTGAGTGAAATAAATTTTAATCAGCTAATTAAGAATAAAATTATAATAGATGCCATCTGTAAATATCATAAGTTTTGCAGGTTGTTCATATTACATCAAGAATAAAACTTACTGTCTGTAAAACTGTTAAAGAGAACAAGTCAAATGATCAACAGTATTCGTCCATTTATTTAATTCGTATTACATATTATATATACTATTACTTAATCATTGAAATAATAGTATATATAAATAGTACGTAAATTATTTAATCATTTGAAGAATATATGCACATTAATTATATATATATATATATATATATATATATATATATATATGAATTATTTATATTTGCGCTTATGAATCAGTTTATTTGCTCATTTATTTATGTTGATGTTCAGCATACTTCAACGCATCACTGAATAATGCAACAAAGGGTTAAAGATATCGGATTTTCATGAATAACGTGGATCATAGAAAATTTTATAAAATTTCAGCCATGCTTAGATTTTCATTCAAATTTAGGAGGAACAGCGGTAGTAAGTTTATAGTTCAAGAAAGTAGAATATGCGACATGACTTTTTATGGTTAAGGTTATAATAGGATATAGGACTTGAAAAAATGAACTGATTCGAGTCATAAGTTTTGAAAATATACTTAGAATTGAAAGAGTTTGAATAGCTTTTCTACTGTTAGTGAATAAAAGAAAATGTTAATCCTAATGAACATCATCCACTTATCAGTTATAACAATCCTTTAAAATTGTCTGTCTATAAACTTGTTTTTCCTGATTTCGAATTGAAATGTGCTGACGATGAATGTGGACAATGCTATAAGAAATGTTTCTTCGGGCGTCTCATCTGATCAACTCCGTTAATCAAAACTATGTAATTAAGGACAAAATTCTTTTTCTATTCTTTAATTCTTATAATTACCATAGCTGTATTATATTTTGATGGCTTATTTAATTTCAGAAGAAAATTGTTTAATAAAATTGCTGAAAAAGATATCTATATCTATCTATCTATCTATATATATATATACGTCGCATATATATCTACCTATATATGCGACGTATTCATATGCCATATGCACGACAGTTCAACGGTGACGGACTCGAAGCCACAGCAAGCCTGGAACATTTGTCCTTTAACAAAATTTCAACTCAGTGTCGTTATAAGCCTACTGTTAGCTTATTCGCTCATTTATCTCATTTACGCACAACATCATGCTATTTTGTTTTATATGATGACAGGGTAAGCAATTAGCTACCATTTTTGCTCTTTTCAAATTCTGATAAATATTCGACTCTCAAGAATGAATAAATTAAACAGGGCAATTTAAAGATGATACTATAAGTCTTCAGGCAATATATGCATGTCATTCCTGAAATGCATTTTTTTATCAGCAAAAATTAAATTGTTCCCAGTACACTGGTTAATAGAGTTTCAAAATAAAATTATGGAAGGATTAAGCATGTATACCATTTCGATTATTTCCATAATTTCAAAAATCCATGTTGAAAATTTCAACTTAATTAAGACATCCATTAAAATTAGTGAGATTGCGTTTTCAAAAGTTGCAGTTTCTACAGCATAAGTTCTGTTTCAGACACCCTTATTTCAGATTAGTAGCTGTGCTTATGGCTTCACTGTACACATCAGGTCTCCTAGCTGTTATATATATGCTGATAATGATCAATAAATTTGATAAAGAACTGGAACACTGCACGACTACGATGATTGCTATAACTGATGTTAAAGTAACTATAGTTGATATTAAATCACAGAAGTAAATTTGGATGATAAAATTACTTACTGGTAAGAAAAATAGTCACTTTTGTGTATGTTCACCCATAACTTCTGATTTGTCAATTTTAGTATATTATCTAGGTTTCACTTTAAATTTTGTTGTCCCACGTAATGTAGTAATTGTTAAACTTGTGCTTATATCTAAAAGATTTTTTGAAATTCAACTGTACAAAATTATGATGCATTGCATAATTTGCTTTCCTCTTAGCTCTACCTGTTTTTCTGAAATATAATTTCATGCAAACATCAATACGTGTATTATGTAGAATTAAAATTTGTGGAATTCAATTCATTTCGATTGTTCGACTCATGTCTTCATGTTTTGCAATAATGTAGTGAATAAAAGAGTTCATTACAATAAAATTCTCAATGTATCTATCTGATCTGATTTGGTGCAATTATATGAAGTGCTTCTCAAGCAATGCACAATCAAATAACGGAAGATTGAAGTGCACGCACTTTCATGTGCTACATTCAAGCAATTAATGCTGAAACTAAGTCCAGGATTTAATTTGAGAAATCCTAAATGTTGTTTAAAAGTATTTTCTGGATTTACAATAATCAAAGAGGAATAAAAAAGTGGTTGGATGGCTGGCATCATTTTTTCATTTCTTTTATAGCAGTTAAGTTTCAGTAAGCAATCCAAACGGAAAATGGATTATAGCGGATAACGTTTGGTTAATTTGGAATTTGCAGCAAAATTTGATAAAGTTTCTGTCAAATTTATGAGTGAAATAAATATAATTGAAGAGGAGAGATTAACAAATGATGCGTAATCGTTTAAATTTCCGCAATCATTTCATGCAGTGATATGATGCAGTATTTCAGAGCAAGCGAAATGCACACAGCGCGCGGAAAGTTGCAAGACGAAAAGATAAATAGACGCATGCCTCTTCGTTATGGCTTAAATTATGAGTGATAATAAGCACTCCTTCTTAGTAAAATGAGCAGACTAAACTTCGGGTTATTCATTATCATTACTTTTAGGTTCGATATCACGAAAATGGACATTTTTGGTAATTTCTAAATCCAACAATCAGAAATCGAATTTGTAACCGATGAAGTTTTACTGAAAATAAAAAAGTAATCGAAAATGAAGGAAATATAGAGTTATCGGATTCGGAAATTTTTGGACGACATAATATCAGTAACAGAGAAGCATTCAACCAAAATTTACATTTATCGATTTTTAAAATATAAAAAAAGTCTTCCATCAATAAATTGTCATTAACTATTTATGTCATGATGTTATTATGAAAAATCATTTCTCATTTAGTTGGATCTATTTCCTATACAAATTGTGAAATTGGAGATTTTTTGATCAATTAACTACTTTTTTTCCAAATTGTTATAAAAATGATCATTTTTGGATGACATGATCGAGATTTCTTTTTTCACCGAAATGGGAACAAATTTTTTGGTTTTTTGGGAAATCGCGCATAGGAGAAATAACGTAATCAATAAGCATTACATGTTCCCTTCAACGCGGTCGAAGCCAAGAATCATTGAAGCAGCAGCAGCAGTGAATAGAAATGTTCATAGAGTGATGCAATGAATCATTAAACATACAAAACCGTTCATATCAGGGAGGATTTGCTTCTCTCATTGGAAAAGAAGGAAGAACGTGGATGAGAAACCATTAGCTTTTCAGTTTGTTGAAAACTGTAGAAGCATTTGCTTCCAGTTAATGATGCTATTTTATGATCCACAATTCGGTACCAGTGCAACATTTCAGGTTTCGTTTCTCGTAACTATTGTAAGCATTCTTCATTCTTCTTCCTACTTGTGACAACACATTTGGCCACGATATCATTGATAAGAATTTGATCGTCATTCTGATATTAGTGCAACATTTCCATTCTTTACATTTTCACTCAGATATTTAGAGATTTCGTGATTAGCACAAATTTCTCAATAGATTAATGAAAATTAATTTTACTTCACTAGTACTGCTAAATATTTTTATGATTTTTCTATAATCGTAGATTCAGTCGCAAGCTATTTTGTAATTTGGTACTTATTTTTTTTAAAATGAAATTCTGATATGAGTTATTACTTCTGCATACATTGTAGTATTACGTTAAATATCTCGTCTACTATTTTACACACTTAGAAGCAAAAGTGTGACGCTCGTTTTTTTTTTTTTTTTTTTTACATGTTCATTTATCAGCTTAGCCTGGTAAGAAATTTATCGGTTGTTTAGCCCGTTTATGGATAATAATTTCTTGTATCTTATTGATCGCTATTGATGGTGTTTCAACTACGATGTCATTTGAGGAGCAATTTAATTTTGCAGGGAAGACTGAATGGTCGAACAAAGCAAAGGTAGAGGGTATTGCAATAATTCAAATATTGACCAATAGAAATCTAAATAGTCTTAAAAGATGCGAAGAATCGGTATAGTGTGCACATCAACTTTATTAGTTTACTTTCAACAGATTACTGCGTCGAATATAAGTCAACTTGGTATTATTCGTAACGGTAACAATATAAATGGAAATAATAATTTTGGTTCAAATCGTAGAATGTTTGGATCACAAACACATTCTATCAGTTTTGTTAGTCTTTTTATTACTTATTAATTTGAGTAATCATCTCTTTACAAAATTCGAACTTTTATTTTAATTCTTAGTCAAGCAAATCTAAAAAGGAATATATGCTTAAATGAGATTTTTTGTAACTAATAGAACTTTGAAGAAATGGTTGATATGTGATTTTTTTTTTCACTTTTCAAATTTAATTGACTTGGAAACTTTAAAATTCTTCTTTGAAATTTTTGATGAAGTCATAAAAATTCTTAAGCTTTTCCAACCAAAAAAATGTTCCTTAGTTTTATTTGATTTGGCCCGAAAAACTTCTGTTAACTTCACCGATAAAACGAATTTAATATACTTTTCCATCAATTTTTCTGCTCGAATAACAATTATCGAGAAGAAAAACTTTTAGGAAAGATCCTGTGCTAACATTTTAATGGATGAAATTCTATTCTATTGTATGATCTAATGAAAGCCGTTTTGGAACTGCATTAATAATTTTAATGATTAAATGTTATAATTTTCTAACGGCAATTTAATTTCAGTTCTACTAAAGCTGTTAATTGTCGTTTATGAAAGAATAATAAAATTAAGCGAGTCTCCAGTTATCATTTCTCTATCATTTTCTAAATACCATTTTACTTCCAACAATAGCAAGATTAATTCATCAATGATTATTCTTTTTGTTTCAAAGAATAGTTCGGAATAAAATTAAAGAATGACTTCATGACAGCTAATATTAAAGTTTCATCAAAAGAAAAAGAAAAAAAAAACTCAGAAAGTGCTTTTGTCTTCCATAGCAGAATGCTTTTTTTTAAGCACACATGATTTTGGTGATTTTATTTCAGATTTCTTATCCTAGAAACCATGATTACAACGATCAAAATAATTTCGAAGCTATGTATCAAAATATTCAAATGTTTCAGCCAATAAGCCATATTGTAAGTCATTCCATAGTTATGTCACTTTCTCCCCTTCTAGTTTACTTTGTTTCATGTTAATTTGCACTTATCAAAAGGTATATTTTTGACCAGAACAATAAAAGTAACATTCCATGAAGTTCAAAGTCGATCTTTTTTCTTCTTTTCTCTTTTTGTATTGTAACACCAGTAATGTACAATTATTTTATTTTCAAAGGCATACTTCAGGACTACTATTCCGAATCAGCCAATATTTCTGAAATAGCAAATGTAATGGTACAAATACAACTCATAAATTACGTTAACCAAGGCCTTCAGCTCCCAAAAGGACAAACTTGTGTTTGTCCAAGTGAATTCTCTTGCAGCTATCTTGGCACCTCTGTTCCTCGGTGTTATATGTCATTCACAGTTATTCTATTATCACCAGAGTACGTTTTGTACAGTTATTTATTTACGTGTTCGCTTAAGCCAGAATAAGTTTTAGAGTTAGAAATCTTTCGTTAGAAATCAAAAATCAAAAAAAAGCTCTTTTGCGTTGTTGTACTGTTTGGAAGAAGTGATATTCAAATAAAAATAAAATTTTAGTGAATCATTGAAGTACTTCTCAACTGAATTTATGCCGCTAACGCCTTCTGGATACATCGATATCGATAGTATGTCACCACAACAAAAACAAGCTTGGCAACAACCTCATACATTTTATCTCACTTCAAAACCGGTTATAGATTTCATGAGAGTTTATGTTACATTAATTTTTGAAACTATGAAAGCTATTATCGTTACTACATGTATTTACCTTCAAAGCTAAGAACTAATTATTACTTTTAAATATGATACGGCAATTAGATGAATATAACTGGTCAGCAAACCACTTGTCCGCCTTCCTAATGTCATAAGAGGGATTTTGCACAAAGGAAATAAGTGTCAAAACTTTCAGTCAGCGATTGATATATTCGTTCATCATATGGGCGCTGTTATCAATGCTCATACAGGTGAGCTGACACAGATTCAAACTGTTGTCCACGTTGATACTTTTATTTTACCTTTGAATTCCGTGATACCGTCTATTGGAAATCATTTATCAATGCAGTCACGAAATCTCAATGGTATTGTTCTCCAAACGCAGTAAGTTTGGCAGTTAATCAAATAAGATAAGCATGAATAATCCATGTATTATGTACAAAAATTTTCAAATTAATTCACTTCCAGGTTAACAGTTGCATATTCAATGCAGTGTAAAGGTGGTTTAATCGGAAGAAACTGTGATTTGGTTTGCAATGAAGCAGTGACAAATATAGCAATAGCAGTATGTCAGTCTAATATAACAAACTTTTTCTACACATGTACTTATATGAAAAGTGGACAGGTAAAGTAACTTTAATATTGGTTCTCTTTATATATCCTCACTTACCCATAAATTTTCTTTTTTGACATTGGTTATCTGTTTATTTTACAGTTTTGTCCCCAATGGCGTAACAACCTCGTAAAAGTTAATTTAAATAATTCATAGTGGTAGTTAATTTAGGTTCAAAATTGCTTGCCATGTCCATGGGGAATCATTCAAGAATCATATTGTCAAAATTCAAATGGAGCCATTCTTACACTTTCTGCTACAGTCAGTAAATATCCATTCTTTTTTGTTTTGGATTCCATCTTTGATTTTTCATTTATCAGTTAAATTTTTAATTTGAATTTTTTAAATAATAACTTATTTTTATCATTCAGAATTTCGAAATCTTCAATTTCAGGATGTGGTATCGTCCAGTTTTAAGGTTGCAACAGTAGTCCTCAGTGTACTTGTTGGTATTCTACTTATTCTTCTTATTATCACCCTCATCTATTCTGTCCTGTGCGTTTTTTCTTCTTTTCAAGTTCTTTTCAACAAATAACTCAGTCTCTAGAGGAACGAGATTTTGATCGAATTTTGTATCTTTAGAAACATTTAACTATTTTTCCCTTCTGTTCTTAAATAGTTAAATTCAAATTTTATTGAAAAATTTAGGATTCAAATACGTCAAAGGCAATCCAAGTTTCAAATAATGAAGTTATTGCTAATTAAGTTGTTGCAGAATGCGAAGGCGAGTGAGAGGAAGTGTACATTCCTACAACAACACAACTTCCGGGCATAATTATAGGTCAACACTAAGATCTGAAGGTAGCGCTAATCGTCTATTGTTGCAAGTGAGCACTGTTTGATTCTTGAAGTAACGAGTTTCATTATTATGAACTATTTAGAAAATTTAATTCTTTCAATGCATCAAAGATTGATTTTTCTGGAAGTTCAAAGACGAAAATCCTTGTATCTCCTTGTATAGCTAATTGAAGTTTATATTCAAACATTTAAACATTTAAATACTTTTCAGTCAATCAATAATGAGTCACATAATCAAGTTAGACAGGCACCAACTACACCACGTTTTGCTCCCCAGCTAGACGCTCTACCAGCTAGTATGCCTTTTTTCTCGTCTAATTTTTTAGCAGATTATGACTGGAATTATTTAGTTTTCAAAATTTACCTGTCATTTGTTCAGTCCCCCACCTGTAGCCTTAAGTACAAATGCACTTTTCAGCATAGTGGAATATAAATAAAAGTGATGTGAATCATTAAGAAAAATTTATATCAGTTTAATGCTTTTTGTTTTTTCGCAGAATCATCGCTTCGAAAAGCGACACCGTTACAATCAGGGCAACTTTGTGACGTCCCAGCACTCAGCGATACCTTGAACAGTACCCTTTCTAGCGTGCCTTTGCCACCAAGTAAAGAAGCGGACGTCTGATTTAGTTCTGTCATTGCTCAGTTCTTGCAATTTCTGTCCTAAAGCTCAAAAATTTTTAGGCACGCACAGCAACAATTCTTAATTTTCCGAAATTCTTTTTAAAAGACATGTAAATCTGGCCAAACATTGTTGTTCTGATATCTTCTTTAGTAGCTTTAGACAGAGAAGACAACAAATAGACTGATATTAGTGTGATAAGTTTAAAGTATTTCAATAACTCTGTTTCTACCTCATTTGAATTTTACGAATCCTATATGAAAAATCGTTTTGAATCTAAGCACACATAAGTTTTTGTCCCTTAAATTGCATTTACAGATACTCAGTATGAATTTTATGAAAATGTTAAACAATTTTACATGCATTTTTTCATAAATTATGGCAATGTTGTGTCATCTCATCGTTAAATTAAAAGATTTTCCATAGAATTTAAACTAATTTGTGTTAATAGTTATTATTATTATATACTGTATCTTTCTGAGCCTTTTTATAAACTACTCTGACTGACCTTTCTGTGAATACTTAATTCGAATTGTAACTTTTGAAAGCATAATGAATTTATATGAAGAAAAGAGGTGCATATCAAGAATTTCGGCATGCATATTATATTTAGGTAAAGGCAAGGATGATTGCTTTTCCTCCTTCCCTCCTGCTTTCCTTGCTTTTGCTATTATTTTAATTACTTCTTTATTTACCATTTATATTGCTTGCAGTTTTGCTTCAACTTTATTAATTTCAATTTGTCATTTTTTATCCATTATTCTCTTTATATTATTCAACAAACAAAGTCATCGTATTTCCATTATTTCTTTACTACCACAATACTCTAAGTGCGATATTATGTTTAGGCAGCTTAACAGGTCGATAATAGTCTGCATGCATTTGTTAATTTAATTCATGCGATTTTTTTTTTTTTTGAATTCCAAGTTTTGATTTGTTGAACAAGCTTTATGAGCGATAAAGATCATTTACATTCGAAGAAGCATTACATTCGTTTAGAATGCTTACTAGCATTTTTTAACATTATTTGACTAAAATAGCCCAAATTTTACGAATGATATTTGTGAAAGATTATGATATTCACATGAGAGCAAACAACAGTAAGCCAATTTTGGAGTAAATCAGCGAAAATAAATTGCCTGTTTAAGATATTTGCCATTTGCTTTAATGATTGAATTCGCATGGAAAATGGAAATATTAATCATTTTAAATGGTCGCCCAATTGTCGATGTCACTAAGAAAAAAAAAGAAGTAAATTTAGTTCAATTTATTTTCATAATTTAATGAATGTAAATTTCATTAATGATTTCTTTGTCGGCGACTAAAGAAGAAATCTGTGCCCTTTTAATGAAGTGTTAGAACCCTTTGGTTGGTAAAACATTATTTTTATATTTTGGTATCTTCTTGTTCTTGTCTACATTATGAGAAGTTAATGAATAAGTGAGTTAGAAATAAATTTTCAAAAAGCAGCTTTAATGATTTACCATGACATCTAATAAATGAAATCGTTTTTTCCTCACTTTACTACGATATGTGTCTCGCACACGAACTAGTTAGAATAAAATTCGGTAAATCTGATTATTCTGTTTACTTCGAATATTAGTGTAAATTCTCATGATTTAATCACAATAACAATGCAAATACAACACTGTAATCGATAATTAATTGAAATTGATTGTTTGTATTATTCATCTCTTTTAATTTTCACAGCAATATATCGAGTAGGAATTTCGATTTAACCGTATGAATTATTTATTAACTTCTGACTTATTGCTTACTTAAAATGTTTTGACTTGATACATTGCATGCAGATCAAAAGAGTTATGGGACATGTTTGTAGACAAATATGCCATTAATTTTGCGAAGCCATCAGAATCTGCCAAACGCTGTCATACTTTTTCTTAGACCTTATGCTATGGCTAATGTGCTTTCTCTTAATCAAGTTCCTAAAAACTTGATCTTCCTGAATATGGTCGAAGCAGTTAAAAGTAGTTAGTGGATAGATAGTGACACTGGTTGTTTGCCAATATTTAACAGAAAAGATAGACTTTATATTAGTATTGGTTATCAGAATGAAATTTTATGCCGCACAATACTTTATTTTTTAACAAATTCTAATTAAGTAAGCATGTTTAAAGAACTTCAGTCTGGTGGAAAAAAATTTTTTTTTGAATAAGATATAAGATTTATACATATTTTTTTACTGTTTGTCCTTGTGCATACACGTATATGCACCTTTAATTTATAAATAAAGGAAATTTTTATACCAGATTTCTGAAATCGATTTCATTCGTTAGGCGAAAAAATTTATAAAAACAAATAAATTTTCATTAATTTATAAATAGAAATAAATTTAGAAAATTTAATTTATAAATAATTTACAAATTAGAATCAGAAAATCCTGCTACTGAGCAGAATTTTCTGATTGCATTTCCAAGATCTATCCCTTTGAAGTTACCACCTTTATCAGATTGGTTTGGCTAATAAAAAGATCAAAAAGTGATCTGCTCAATTACGTTTAAAAAGACTATCGCTTACACATAACTGAATTATATAAATTTGTTTGCATTAGTTAATCACAAAGTTTTAGATGCCTTCGTTCTTTTGTCACCAATCTTTTTCGTATACTAAAATTTTCGAAAATTTTATAGAATTCAATTTTTTCGAGAAGCATACTGATAAGATCAAAAATTTATTTTTTAATGAAACTATTTATTCATAAATGATGTGTCCAAGTGATATATGTTATAATTAATGTTATAGCTGCAGAAAATTACATATGCATCTGTAAATTTATTTCTGAATATCATCCAAATTAATAAGAAATCATATGCGAATGATAAAATTATTCGTCTAGGCTGTATTTAATGAATGATCTGATTCGTAATAATCATTTGTACGAGCAAAATAAAATTACTAATGAAATTATGAATACTCAAAAATGACATGAAGTCTTTTCCGTTTTTTTTCTACTTATTTTGTTGACATTCAATCATGCAACTTTATGTGTTAAAAGTTTTACTTTAAAACATGAAAAATATTTTAGTGTACAAATTATTTTTGAACAATTATCGCTTGAATAAAAAAAAAGAACAATCTATATAAGAAGTCATACATCACAAGTGATTTAATCGTAATATAGAAAGGAGATCGTCTCAAAAAGAAAATCTTACCACTGACTTCTGTCTGCACTGCTTTAGTTCCATAATATTGCACTATCGAATGCACAAATAAATTTGCTGAACGGTTTTCCTTTCCCGGTGAATTTCTCTCTTAAATGGGTAATGGATAGAGATGAATGGATTATTTTACTACTAATAAAAGTTCTGAATCCAAAATTTAGAAAAGTCTACGTATGCATTCTTCATATTCTTTTTTGACAAATTACCATTCTGGAAAATTTCAAGGCATAGATTTCTTTCAAGTGCTCAATACAGTTTTAATTTTATAAAATTTTATTTTTTGAGAATTAATGTAAAATTTCAACTAGGCAATTCCTCTTTATCTTTCTTTATGAAAATTCCCTAAATCCAATTTTTTGCTGCTGTACAGATGTAAAAGCAAATTTAGAATTTCTTTCTTATTGCTGTTTCCTTGTGAAACAAAGTACGTTTCCTTTCTTGATAGTTCAGATCGTTGATTTTTGTATTCGATACTGGTTTTTTCAAATCTGTACTGGTTCCGGTCTGTGTACATGTACTGTGGGAGTCTTCGTGAAATACTTTACTATTCAAGCCTTAAACTTGAGTAATTAAACCACAGGTTAACATTAAAAACTATACGACATTACAATAATGAATTGATACGTAACACACAAATGTATCTTAATTATAAAACATTTAAAGATACAAGCAAACTAGACACCTCGCATCCGATCCATACCAAACAAGGAACTATAATGAATGGCTTTGCAAATTGGGAGGGATTTTATGGATGCTAAGGTTACAAAGTGGATTAAAATCACTTAAAACAATAGCCTTTGTTCACTACGTTATAGCTTCGCCACTGTGGCGACAACAGGCAATAATTCATGCATTTTGCTTGAACTGTTTTTATTTTGCAGATGCAAAATTTCCCCGTTCCCAATATATCTCTTCAAGAGTGTTAGGTCAGATTTCAAAGTTCGTGTCACTAATGGAAATGGAAATTTCTAGACAGGCAGATAAGCTCGCTACAGCAGGAAGATGAGTGTTGGGCAAATGATTGCTTACATAAATGCAATTTTGAAACAATGTTTAATTAAAGAATGTTCAGTTAAGCGAAATTTTAGTTTTATGGGCTAATACAATTTTAATTCATATATTTCGTAAGTTATTTGGAGGTTCGCGAGATTTATTTCAAGTTTTTACAATTTATTGTCCTAAGCAACTGCATTGTAAGAACTATTTACGATTCACTTTTTTTTTTTAACGAAAACAGAATACATTGTCATTTGTAAATTACACCTTTAAAAATTTAAAAAAAAAAAAGGATTAATACCCTACAAGGTGTGCGACTGCACTAAAAAAAAAAACTATGTGCAGTGTTCTCGACTGAATTCCGTGAATTTCAAATTACTTTTTTCTAAATCCAAAAGTGTATCACAAAATGCATCAATATTCATAGTTAATGTGCTGCTACCTGTGAGGTGCGCCAAACGTTTGCTCAACTAATCGTTAATCAGTAGCCCTCCAGTACTCTACGAAAATACGCAGGGCTGTCCAAACAGTTATTGGTGAAATAATATTGGCATACAATCCAAGAGGTTATGTTGTCCATTATCTTCAAAGTAGCTTCACAATGTAAAATGAATAGAACCATTCATTAAGTATAACAAAAAACACAATAATATTAATTCACTGCAGAACAGGTCTTTTTTTTTTTTTTGAATTCTAGAATTTGCCTCAGAAATTAGGTGCTTAAATTTATTACTTCTGGACAGAGAAACGATTTTTTGGAATGGTAGGTTAAATTTAGTAAAACTCACTTGACGAATATAGATTTAAAATCTGTATGCATGCACA